ACTGTTCTTCATAATGGCTATACTAATTTATATTCCTATCAGTGTATGCTATGCAAGATTTCCCTTTTCTCCACATCCTCACCAGAACTTCTTTTTTATAATAGCCATTCTAACTTAGTGAGATAATAATCTTTTTAGTTTTGATTTGCACTTCCCTGATTAGTAATATGATATTGAACATTTTTTTTTTCATATTCGTGTTGGTCACTTATATGCCTTCCTTTTTAAAAAAATGTGTTTAGATCTATCACCATAACACTTCTAATCACTCCATGTAAATACTCTTGTCCCTTTTTTTCTGACTTCATAGTCTTCTGATATATTCTTTTTGGTGTATGTGTGTGTGTGTGTGTGCACATGCACCTGCACCCGCACACATTTTGCTGGGGTTTGAACCCAGGACCTTATACGTGCTAGGCAAACAATCTACCACTGAGCTCCACCCCTAGCCAATACTCCTATTTCTGACCTCTCCTAGTAACATTTTCTTCTACCCAGATTTTAAATATTAAAATTCCTGAGCCAGAAATAATTTGATTTGGGTTCTGAAGTACATAATCTCTCTAAAGCAAAAATTTTAAATGAAAGAAAAATTCAATGAGGATGAACCAAAATAAATAATCTAGTTATCTATATCTATCACAGATAGTGCCTGGCACTATTTGGGATATTATCATTTAGAAAGTATATAATAAAGACAATATTTCTGACCTCATGGTTTATACTATAGTGGAAGCAACAACTATATACAATAATGTCACTTAGTGATGTCATAGATATTATTAGACAACTAGAAACAAAATAAGGCTGAGAGTATAGATATTTAGAGAAAAATTCTCTGAGCAAGTGCATTAAGCAGAGACCTGAAAGAATATAAACCATAAAAAGACCTAGACAAAGAACTTTCCAGAGGGAAAAGCAAAACTTGAGGTAGAAAAAATGGCAAAAATTCCATCCTGAGTGAAGGACAGAGATTAGACAAGTAGGATCTCATAGACAAGAACAAAAAGTTTGGATAGTTTGGATTTTTTTTTCTTTTTTTCAGTAGTGGGAATCACAGGGTCTCATGCATGCTAGGCAAGCACTCTACAACTGAGCTATATCACTTGCCCAAAAGTTTGGTTTTTTTATTATTTAAGGAATTTATTATAATCCATTGGAGGATCTTGAGCAAGAAATGATAGGGTTGATTTAAAATTTTAAAAGATCATAAAACATGCAGTCTCATTAAAAATTTGATGAAACATTCATTTTTTAAGGGCTCACATAGTAGTTTTAAAAATTAAGTCAGAAGAAATTCTATGACTAATGCAGTTTAGCTCACTGAAATACAATTGGTTTTTTGGTTTTGTTGTGTTTGGTGCTAAGGACCAAACCCTGGGCTTTGTACATACTAATAAGCACATGTTTTACCACCCAGTTATATCTCCCCAGCCCCAAAATATAATTAATTTAAAATCATTTGATACAATTTAAGACTAGAATAAATCTTATCATTCACATACTCTCCAATATGTCTTCTCAGTTGAAATTAAAGTCCAAACACTGACATTCAGAGCTTTTTACAAATTTACAATGGTTTTAATCAAGTAAATATTTCCCTTTCAAATTTTCTTAAGGCTATAGATGAAAATTAAAATGTCTTGGGATTTATGTTACAATCAAAATACATCATCTACTTATAAAATTATCAATATTTCCTAGATAAGAAAAATTTGAAGCACCACTTCAGAGCTGAAGTGGAGATTAAAAACAAGAACAAATGTATATATCACACTGTTGTCAATTTTATATACTCTCAAGTCTGTATTAGTTTATCATCCAAATTTTTATTATAAAAATTATTTTCCAAATATATTACAATAATACAAAATTCATTTTATCTTAATTTTGACAGTACTGTTTACTTAAATAGTTAACAAACAAAACAGTTTTGCAAAGCAAACTTCCTTCCCAGTTGTTTATTAGAAAATAAAATGTAGACAGTAAAATTTCATTAATTGGGTCCAACAGACAATTAATATGAATAGTAAACTGGGGGAAAAAGCAACTTGGCTAACTTCTCAGGCCTTAAAACTTTAGCCTAACAAAATAATAAAAGGCAGTGCTTGGCACATAATATGGGGTCTTAATATGTATTACTGCATTTAATTCTATTTAGTTTTGTTTTTGTTTTTTTGTTTTTAATGTGGTGCTGGGGCTCAAACTCAGTGCCTCAGGCATGCTGGCAAGTGCTCTACACTGAACCACAACCCCAGCCCTTACACTTCATTAATCCTACTTTGCATGTACCCCACTTCTACAGCAATTACACTCTTAGTAAGCAAACTATTTTTAAAATGTAAGACTACCTCACTGAAGAGGCTAATTGCTCTAATATGTTTTTTAAATTTCTACTTAATTTTAGTTTTTTACATGTTGTGTAAAAATAAACTTATAATTAAGGTTTCATTGCATTTGAGAATTCATCTTTCAGCCACTGCTTAACAAACAGCAGAATAATCTGATCTCAGTACAAAAATCACTTTGTTTTCCAGACGTTCTAACATTATCCGTCAATTAGTTGGCAAGTTAAAATCTGATTTTCCAATGCTACCTCACACCATTTTTGCAACTTTTTATACCAACTCCTGCTATCTGAATATGCTCTTGGAATCTAATTTTATGCAAACAAATCTAATTTTATCCAAATAGGAAATGAAAAGTCAAAACAACTATATGACTTTATGAAGTAGGATAAATTATTTCATGACTATTTTATGTTTTAGAATGATACCCTCCAATAATGTAATTTATAGTTGATCACTGTAAAACACAACAAAACAAAACACAAACAAACAAAAAAGACAGCATTAGTTCTTATGCTACAAGGAAAGCTGTTATCCTGAAGTCAGAAGGTTTGAAAATTTCAATGCTTTTTTACAAGTGGCACCTAATTTTTGTAAAGACAAATATACTCAACCCAATAACATTATATGAAAGTCACCAGTGGGAAAAAAATCAACAAAATCTGACTTTAAAACTAGTTATTGGAATCTTAATAGCATTTAAATAATGTAGTGTAGACCTGGGCTAAAAGAACAATTAAGGCAGGTGGCACACAACAATTAAGGTGTGTGTGTGTGTGTGTGTGTGTGTGTGAGAGAGAGAGAGAGAGAGAGAGAGAGAGAGAGAGAGAGAGAGAGAATACATAAGCAACCAAAACATCATATTAAATCTCACATTATTTTGGATATTTTAAGAAAAGTTACTTTTAATTGCACAAATATTTCAATCAAAAAACAAACTGCCGTACACTGACCATGTGAATAACCACATATTGCCTGTATACAAGGTTCAAAGAAAGGAGATACAGTACAGTATTTTAGCTGCCAGTACTGAAAGTCTCAAGACTGAAGTCTAAGTGTATCCCTTGGAAGAGAAACTTGGCCTTTCTTCCCCAAAGATGTATATTCCTTTTCTTCTCCAGATGTAGTTAACTAAACAGATATTCCCAAAGTAATGAAGACTCATTTCAAGTAGTTACTCTGCTTGCAAGTTTTATTTACATGGGAATTGTTACTAGTGGTTTTTAGTGAAATCCTTGTATTTACATTATATATATGTATATATACATTTACATTTGAAAGGTAAACAAACTGTACAATAATAAAAAAATAAGAAAAAGAAATATAGTAACTTAGGTCCAATTCAGGAAATGAATGCATAAAAGTAAGATTAAATTTAGGCAGGTAGTATAATCTCAATGAGATTACAGCCAGAGGTTACATCCCCTTTATTAGGGTCACCAATACCAAGGAAATAGTTACCAGACTTACAAGGCCATCCTGAAACCTATTAAGACTCTGGGTACTCCCTTAATATTTTATTAAACTACCAGTTTCCACCAAGCCAGCCCCTATGATGGGGTTAACTTCTGAGGATTCCACTAGTAATCTCTAGGCTAGAAGGACCCATAGGGTAAAATATACCGGTACTCTCTGGTCCCATACTTCTAAAGAGGCAGTCACTACACTAACAAGACTCTCAGATTTGTTAGTTTAAAGACTATACATATACCACTAACAGAAATAGTGTGCTTAGGTTTTCTTTCAAACCACACTGCAACATAAAACATTATAAATTATTAACTGAATAGTATGTTATACATATACTCATAAAACTCGAGTGATTTAGTTCAGGTTTGAAAATTAAACATAAAAAATTTAATGCCAATTTATCAATGATTAATAATTTATCTGCTATGCCATCAGATTAAAAAATTATTTTTACCTTTTTCTTTTACTCTTATTTCCACTGATTACAAAAAAACACCTTATGCATAGTGTTTCACAAGGAATAAACCTTAGCTACATATAAGATTTCAATTTTCAAACTGGAATTAACAAATTTTGTTTCTACAGACAGAGGAGGAATTTTAACTAAAAATTTTAAAGTCTTATCAAGTAGTATGCTATTTAAGAACTCTCAGAATTCATTAATTTTTACTCTAACCAGTGAAAAATCTCATTATATTTTTGGACTTTAATCCCAAAGTCAAGTCTTCAGTCCATTAAAGTGCAAATAACTTCCTTTTTATCAGTTATTTAGTTTTCTTAATGTTAAATTACTAGGTGAACAATTTGTTATACTAGAACAGAAAGACTAAAGATATTTGAATGGTAAGAATTCTTTAAGGAAGAAAAAGAATTTCCCATCAAAAACGAATAGACACAATACTGTGGGAAAACATTTAAACAAGAAACAATCTCCTACTAATGTTCCAGTTCCCAGATAATTTAAATTTGCCCCAACCTGTGAACAAAGATAAACAATTTCAGTGACTTAGTTTACAATCAAAGTTGCTAATTCTTGGTCTAAAATATCTGCAAATGGTCAGAACTGGAGATAATACCATACTATAGTATTTCAGAGGTTAAATTAGTATTTAACAATCCTAAGTGACCTCCATAGTGCCTTTGTGGTAATTGTTAAAAAAGAAAAGATGTAAAAATTCGAAGTATCTTTGAAGCTATTTTAAAAATTTATTGCATTAAACTGTTTACTCCAAATTATGGAGTATGTAATAACCATTTAGACTTTTTCCTCTGAAAAATGGCTCTCCCTACAAAATACTTTTTTTTATTAATACTGTTAATAAATTCCTTATTTCCTTTGCTTCAGCCATGGAATTTAAAATCAGCAGTTTCCACCTCTTGATTCTTTTAGATTCTCCAACAATTTTCTTTCATGCTTTTTACATAGAACACAGAAAACTTTCACCACCCCCCACCTCCCGAAAAAACCTACATTTTTTATATTTCAGTTAGTCTGTTAATTTTTAAGATTAGCTTTTCAGAGCAGGACTGCTGTTCTTGTCTCCTTCTTTAATATCCTTCATTACAGATGCAAAGACCTGGAAATTATATAAAATAAAGATTAGTCCTCAAGATCTACCACCCAGATTAAAGTGACAGATTAAATAACTATAGCATATAAACATGAAAAATCTTTAGTACATTTAATTATCCCTGAAATTTTTTCATTCTCAAATCCCAATTTTTTTAAACCTGATTTTATGGAATATGATTCAATTCCAATTTTCATCAATTGCCAAATATTCTTATATTAGTATTTAGTAACAGAACATTTTCTGGACCAACAGTCATTCCTACAGTCCATTTTCATAAGCAATAAATCTGTGCACTTATAGTGCCAATTGTCTGTATCATTAATAGATCAAGACATAATGCTTCTTTTATGTCACCTAACTTAGACCACTGTTATTTCCCTTCACAAACAATACAGTCAAAAAATCCATGATTAAGATGGGTGCAATGGTGCACACCTATAATCCCAGCCATTTGGGAGGCTGAGGCAGGAGGATCACAAGTTCAAAGCCAGCCTCAGCAACAGCAAGGCCCTAAGCAACTCAGTGAGACCCTGTCTCTAAATAAAATACAAAATAGGGCTGGAGATGTGACTCAGTGGTTGAGTGCCCTTGAGTTCAATCCTTGGTACCAAAAAAAAAAAAAAAAAAAGCCACGATTATATATTAGATTCTTTCTACTGCCAACCTTTAGTACATAGCAGATGTTTAATAAAATCATTGTTTATTTCAGATATCTAAGTAATTTTTTAAAATATTTTTTTAGTTGTAGGTGGACATAATACTTTTATTTGATTTATTTATTTTTATGTGGTGCTAAGGATTGAACCCAGCACCTCGCACGTGCTAGGTAAGCACTTCACCGCTGAGCCACAACCCCAGACCCTCTAAGTAATTATTTAACAGCTCTGCTAAACAAATGATCATTGTGATTTGAAGTTCAATAAAAAGTACTACTGAACTTACATAAAAATAAAGCTATAAATTTGGACATGTAGAAGAAAGATAATCTATTTTACATTCTTGCTTTTTCAAAGCCCCAAATTATTGAGGGCTGGGGATATGGCTTAGTTGGTAGATTGCTTGCCTTGCATGCACAAGGCTGTGGGTTCAATCCCCAGCACCAAATCTCAAAGCCCTAAATTATTATTATTATTATTTTGGTACTGGGGAGTGAATCCAGGGGCACTCAACCACTGAACCACATCCCCATCCCTTTTTTTGTATTTTACTTAGAGACAGAATCTCACTGAGTTATTTAGGGCCTTGCTAAGTTGCTGAGGCTGGCTTTAAACTCGAAATCCTCCTGCCTCAGCCTCCTGAGCGACTGGGATTACAGGCATGTGCCACCATGCCCAGCCCAAAATTATTTTTTAAAGATATTACATTTTTGAACTCATACACTAACATTTCAGAAATATATAACTTTTTTACAAGAAGCCAACTGATTATTTTAGCATATTGATTACAAACTTTAAAGTGCCATTCTACCTGAGTCCATTTTTTGGTGCTATTCTGCATCTGAATGGCTGCAATACAACTGAAGAGCTTTTCTGATGTGATATCTTCTGGTAATTTAGTTAGAAACTGTGCTATATGAATAAAATCCATCTGTAGGAGAATATCTTCATATAATCGGAGGATTCCTAATCCAGTCCTAAATAAAAATTCCTCTCCATCTCTGCAAAATACATCCCAGACTCGACAGGCCAGATCAAGTGGTAGTGACTTGCTATAGAGTGTAAAGATCCTAAAATTAGGAGGAAAAATAGTCTTGAAGTTTTTCATTATTAATTCATTCACTCATTAAGCATCTTTATAAAAAAATGATGATAAATAAATGATTATTGTGATCTGTAGTTCAATTAAAAAAAATTAGGGATACAACAGCAAATATGGCTTATTCCCTAAACTTGAATAATGGAAAATTAAGTAATAAATAATAAAATTATGTGAATTCACAATCTTACATAAAGACAAAGCCTAATACAAACTCCAGATTAGTATAATAGTGTAGTGGTAAGGGTATGGAATCTGGGTTTGAATTTTCAATTTGCCACTGAGTTACTTGACCTTGACCAAGATATTTAGCCTTGCTGTGCCTCAGTTTCCTCGTTAGTAAACTAAAAAATAATAATACTTTCTACCTTAGGATTGCCTTGAAAATTAAAGGAATTAATAAATACAAAGTGTTTGGAGTGGTGTCTAAGCACATAAGAAATATTCATGGCTGGGGGTGTAGCTCCGTGACAATGCATGCTTAACATATGCAAGGCCCTGGGTTGAATTTCATCACCAAAAAGAAAAAAGGGAGAGAGAAAAAAAGAAAAAGGAAAAGGAATGTTCAATAAAAATTACTTATTGTTAGTGTATAAGGAAGCTAGATATCATCTTTAGTAACCTAATAAAACCTTATAATAATTCACTTTCCCTTCCAGCAAACATCCATTGTTTTGTTTGCTCCTCTACCAAGCTTTACTTATTACTTCCTTTCCAATAGAATCACCAAAATGGCTTTTCTTGTCCTTTCTAACAGTGTCTGACCATGTTATTCTTTATCCAATGGTGCATCAGGTGGCATTCTGGTTTGGGAAGTAGGAGAATAGGTACTAGAAGACTTGTCTTAAAATTGCCTTAGCAAATAAAAGGACACAACTTTTTAAAACTTATTTTTTAAAGTTGTCGATGGACCTTTATTTTATTTACATGTGGTGCTGAGAATCGAACCCAGTGCCTCAATACATGCTAGGCAAGCACTCCACCAATCCAGTCCATGATACAACTTTTTACCCTGATTAGTTTAAGGTAGGGCTGATGGAATCTGAAGGGAACTAAAGGCTCTCCCACAAAACAAAACAAACAAAAATTTAGCACTGCCAGTTACTCATTCTTATCTTGAAAAAATGATTCTGGGATTTGTATGTAATAAGTTCAACAAGGGTAGTGAAATAAAAGTTCATCTCTACTTCTTAAATTAAGGGTTTCTTTCCACCCCTTCCTCACAGAATTAGTATTTGATCTCAATTCTCTGGGTTTCATGATATAAAATCCTCTCCCATTATCTTGGGAAGAACTCTAATATTCCTAGTGAAAATGGAAGAGCATACATTGAAAATTAACTCAAGTTTTTTTTTTTAAAAGCCTGAGTGGAAGAAGGCCCAAGCTGGAATTACAGGTTTGTATTCTTAGCTACTAGGGAGGCTGAAGCAGGAGGATCACTAGCCTGGTGCTCAAAATGAAATTTTTAAAAAAGCTTTCCTAACAAGGCCCTATGTTCAATCCCCAATCCCCCTCCCTCCCTCCCTCCTTTTCTCTCTCTCTCTCTCACACACACACACACACACACACATATTTAAAAAAAGGAGGAGGAGGAGGTCCCAAAAGGCCCAAATAAGTGGGAAAATATCATATTTGATCAATAACATCACTTATTTATTTTTCTATATTAAAGCTTAATACCACTTACATGATTTTGAATGACTAGGTCTTAAAGTCTAAACTACCATGTGTACTCTTGTCAAAACTATCTTAAGATCGACTGTTCCATCTTTTTCAAAATGTTCACCCATCATTCTACAATCAATTGGCTACTGCTCTAAGTTCCAACAGATCTTGAATTGGAAAGATGAAGCACCTAGATAAGGCATCATTCTTCTGTCAGAAATCTGGATAAAGTTTTGAAAAACAGCCCTTGGTAAAGAAACACTATCAAAACTATTATAAGCCCTTGTGTGTTAAAAATAATAAATAGCAACTGACTCTGAGAGCTTAGCGCATGCGAGGTCTTGAAAGAGATAAAACATATAAAGCTACAACAGAAGACATAAATATTACTAATCCCTTTTATAGATAAGAAACTGAAACACAAATTGAGAGATTCTGACTTAAACCCAGAGTCCATACGCTTTTGTGGGGGCAGAGGGTACCAGGGATTGAATCCAGGGGCGCTTCAATACTGAGCCACATCCCCAGTCCTTTTTATGTTTTATTTAGAGACAGGATCTCGCTAAGTTCCTTAGGGCCTCGCTTTTGCTGAGGCTGGCTTTGAACTTGCGATCCTCCTGCCTCAGCCTTCCGAGCTTCTGGGATTACAGGCATGCGCCAGTGGACCTGGCCAAGTCCATACTCTTAATCAAATACATCCCCATAAAAATGTGGAAGTTTCTCTATTTCTAAGGAAAGGTTCTTTAATATGTATGATCCTATGCATGAGATTTACAATATTTCCTAAGCACAGAAAAAGTTATATAATTTATCTCCTTTTCATTATTATTTGTTACGTATTTTATGACTTACCAGTCTATCAAGTATATGTCTGGTGTAAGACTATAAGACTTGAAATGAAGAAATAGTTTGGATAGATTTTCTTCAAAGAAAACTTCAAATGTTGCAAAATATTTCAACATCTGCAGACAGAAAATTCAATAAAGTTATAAAAGAATATACACTAGAAAAATAGAACTAAGTTCTTAACATTAATAGAAAATCTTGTTTATTAGCACCTCTTTTGTGTCTTCACAAGTTCAAATTCAGATTACCTTAGTAATTATTGTCTTTTACTTTAAGGGGCATTCAGAATACAGAACATACAAAAGAAATAGTTCATTCAAATGTTCATACCATGCTGTGATCCACACGAAAAAAAGCCAATTGACATGGTTTATTCAGGAGATTTGCAAATGCAATGAAAGCATCTGCCTCTTCCAAATTGAGAATGAGCACTGCTGCGATGAAAGACATCCCTTGGACCTTTTGAGGAAAAGAAAATCAAAACAGATTTAAAATAACGATTCTCTACAGTTTATGTAATTGAATTTCTAAAAAATTACAAAGTTGTGTTACAAAGTAGAATTTACCAAGATTTCTTCTTTCTTCCCAGCAAAGGTAAATACAGAACACCCATAAAGGTAAATACAGAACACCCATAACAGTTTTGAATTCTAATTTTACATTTTTGTTCATGTGGTATAGTTTAATAAGTATGAGGAAAAATTTGAGGGAAAAAAGTATCAATTTTTACTTGCTACAAAAATCTCAGTGTGTTATCTACTCAATTTTCATTTCCTCTCTAAATTCTTTCAAAATATAGAATATAGAATCACAAAGTTTAGTGAAAGCCAGGTGATTATTTTCATTTTTATAACAAATCTCTTTTGAGTTGGAAATGAGGAACTAAGAATAAAAGAGGTCTATAAAATGTGCTGCTAAAATTCTAAGAATGAAGTTTGTAGGGATTCAGATAACCTAGATTCCTGGTAAAGAGGAGAAAGAAATGGGGTAAACACCATTCCAGGATGGTGTTTAAGCATAGGCATAACAGAAGAAATGGGAATAACAGGTGAAGCACAAGATTTATGAGAAATGGAAGACATCTGAGAAAAGTAGGATATATTTGTATTATGAAAGGCCTTGAGTAAAAAGCCAAGGAATATAGATGTTTGCTTGTGAGTTATCAGTAGCAACTGTACATGTCTTTAATTTTTAAAAAGTTGTCAACTATTTACTTCTAATAGAGATTTATATGATGAACGTACACAGGGAGACTACAAAGAATAACTGTAATTACACAATGTTTTTCCCAAATATTTTGAAAGGGTAGCCTACAATTACTATCTATTACTAATTTTACTTTCTCAGTTCCTTTTTTTTTTTTTGGTAGCACTGGTAATTGAATCCAGGGGTGTTCTGCCATACAGCCATATTTCAAACCCTTTTATTGTTTTATTTTGAAGACAGGGTCTCACTAAATTGCTGACGCTGGCCTTGAACCTGAGATCCTACTTGCCTCACCCTCCCACATTTCTGAGATTACAGGCATGCAACATCATATCCGGCTTGATATTTTTATATTGCAGCATACTTCAATATGGATTCCTGCTCCACTACTATATAATGTTGAGACTTCTCTTATCAGCATGATCAATGATATTTATTGTAAAACCCAGTGGGAAGTTTCCTATATTCACAGTAGTACTCTCTTAGCTTCTATGATTCCATATTTCTTTGCTCTCCTACTTCTCAGACTTCCTTGAAGATTATACAATAATTGGCTGTTTGATTTTGTAGAATACAAATCCCATGAGGACAGAGACTGTATTAGGCAGAGCAACTGTCCTTCAGAGATATTCAAATCCTAATTCCCAGAATCTGTGAAAGTATTACAATACATGGCAAAAAGGACTTTGCAGATGTGATTAAATAATAAAATCTTAAAACAAGATTATCCTGGATTATCAGGGTGGGCCCAAAGCAATCATTGAAGGACCTTAGGAGTAAAAAAGAGAAACAGGAGAGTCAGAGATTTTAAATGCTACACTGTTGGCTTTGAAGCCATGAGCCAAGGCAGAATAGACAAGGAAATAGATTTGGCCCTGGAACCCACAGAAGGAACACAGCCCTGCCAATATCCTGACTTGAACTGAGTGAAATCTATTTTGGACTTCTGACCTGAAGAAATATCAGTTGCATTGTTTGAGGCCATTAAGTTTGTGGTAATTTGTTATAGCAACAATAGGAATCTAGGGGCTGGGGTTATGGCTCAGAGGTAGAGCACTTGCCTAGCATGTGTGAGGCACTGAGTTCAATCTTCAGCACCACATAAGAATAAATAAAGCTATTGTGTGCACTTATAACTAAAAAAAATTAATAATATGTTTTTTAAAAAAACAATAGGAAACTAATACAGAGACAAGACCATGTCTATTCGTTCATGACTATATTGTTAGTCCACAATATTTACTGAATGGATACTAAGGGCAAGCTTTTAACCATCTGTAATAAAATGGTAGAAAAACAATAAAAGTATTAAAACTACATGTAATTGAATATAAGATACTGTTAATTTAAAAGTAGTATTATGGCTGTGCATAGTAATCCCAGCTACTCAGAAGGCTGAGGTGGAAGGATTTTGAGTTTGAGGCCAACAACATGGGTAAGGCCCCATGTCAAAAATATAAAAATAAATAAAGTAATATATATACTACTAAAAAGGAAGAAATTACAATACTTTACCACTTAGAATTTTATTTTATGCATATTCATAAAGCTATTTAAAGCTCACTAAAATCCATTGCATATCACTTTGTGCATATATTATAGGAAAATAATAAAAAGTTGTTTCCACAGTTTTTTCAGAGTCAGATTCTTCTGAATATTCTGTATCTATTATTCATGATGTAACATACTGAAAAGGATATGTCATTTATGGTAGTATCAAAAATGTTTAACTTGAATCTAATCATGAAAAAAATCATGATAGTAGTATTTACATTTCATTGCATCCATGTTTAAAGGAAATGTAAGATATTCAGTGCCAAAAATTTAACCTTTACAGTTAAACTTACTATGAAAAAATTAAATGTCAACTTACATGTGTGCAAGGGATACCTCCTTTTAAATACCCGAAGCAAGAGAGTTTAAAGATTCACTCAAATTTCACTTTCTCCATAAGGACTATCTCACCACCATTTTAAATACAACCTGCTCTACCCCAAACATGTCAATTCTCCCCATTACCACACCATACTTTTTCCATAGCACTTATCACCTTTTACTATAACCTGACTTACTTGTTTGTTTTTTATTGTCTGTTTTCTCCTTCTAAAGTGTAAGCATTATAAGGAGAGTAATCTTTTGTTCACTAAGGTATCTCAAGTGCCTAGAACAATGCCTAGCATACAGCAATAATAATAAGCATGTAAATATTTGTTGAGTGCGTGAGCAAATACAAATGAACATGCAACAAAACAAAGTAAATTTTTATCAGACAGCCACCTTATGGTAAGGACCCTAAAGTTCTTCTATTTTAAGGCAAACGTGAGAAGATGAAGGTTTCATACCTTCTAGTTATATGTAACTATTGAACACTAACATTTTCTTTGTTCCTTCCCAAAATTCAACTACCATAACAGTAAAGAAAAAATGAGTACTAATTCTCATAAGAGAACAAAGAAAATGGAAAACAATATGAACAGTATATAAAAGATGTTAATAGCATTTTATAAATTTTAATTTAAATAAAGGAAATGTTGAAAGTAAAAGATCTATAGAGGAGGAAGCCAATAATCAGTGAACCAATTCAGCAACAAAATGCTGTAAGGCTCAGGAACTGAAGTTATTAGATACCTCTGAAACTGAGTGGTAGGGCCAAAAGTAGAGTTTGTACACCCCATAAAAGAAGGAAATCCCCTCCTTTGTCTTATATGGATAGGTGCCTATTCTTCCCTTAACCTGGCCGAATATAAGAGTTTTATTTTATAGAGGAACAGTGAGGGGAAAGAGGTTTAGTGAGAGGGGGGATAAAGGAATCACACTGATAGCAGAAGCATTAAATAAAATTTTATAAATCAAATGATGAAAAATCCCTAGGAGCAATCTCACAAAGCTGGCAGCCAGTCTTATAAGCTCCTGACAAGAGATGGAAAGTCTCCTCTCTAGGTAAGTTGATCAGCCCAAAGAAAGCATTCAGGTATATTTAATATGTATTGTAAATGTCTAATACAACATAAGAAATTTGATAATAGATAAAATGTTCATATTCAAAAAACGGATTGAAACAAATACTTACATAACCAACATCAGGTCTGTAACATGTATATGCCCCTAAGATACTATGTAAAACATCGTGATATGGGCCACCCTTAGGAGAGAAAAATAAAATTTTAAACTATATGAATAATTGTCTCTAGGTTATTTCTCACATGTTAAAAAACTGTTGCATTTCCTAAATGACTAGTTTTAGTGTATTAACAATTATCAAAAATATTATAAATGCATTCTACCAAGATATTTTAAAAATTATTAACAAAAATATTCAATGATGAATAACAAAAAAGTCAAATATGCTCATTTGATGAATGCAAGCTATATAATGCAATATAATGTGCAAACAATTTTAAAGACTTCTAGACTTGGTACAATAGGAATAAAATTAACACAGATTATTATTTTTTTCTTCTGGCTAGGACAGGGGGGAATTGCTGGAGCCTGAACCCAGGGCCTCATACATGCTCTAGGACTGAGCTAAACACCCAGAGATTTCATTTTATGTAATACAATTTGAACAAAAGAGAACCATCAAACTACAACTAAATTAAATTGTATTAATAATTTTAACCTTAACAGAAAAAAATTTTCTCAGTTTATCAATCATACACCCTATATTATAAAACTATTTCTTCCCATTTCAATGGTAAAATTTAAAAATAATTAACCACTTCTTCCTATAAAAACTAAATAGGAAAATAAACTATTCCTATTTCAGTAGCAATTCTGAAAAATTTTAAGTCTTGAGGACAAAGTTTATTATATTTTAATAATTTACTAAGCAAAAATATTAAGAATTCAAATATCTTACAGAATAAAAATATTATTAATATTTTAAAAATTCACCATGATAAAAGTGTATTAAGTACTTATTACACAAAAGGTATTATGTGCTTTGCTACCTACAATGTATTTCCATCAGTAGAGCAAAATAATAGAAATTTCATACTAGTTTTGTACTTTTTGTATACGGGCCCCAATTTTTCTAGTTCTGCTTTTTAAAAAATAATAGCTATTCATTTCGAGAATTTGTCCCCTTGGACATTGAAAGACTAAAAAATAGTAGTTACAATTTCGTTAGAAACCCTCACCTTCTGAAAGATGTAGAGAGATGGAAATGTACGGGATATGTCCAACTTAATTAATTCCAGACTGGCCTCTCGGTCAGCAACAGATACACCTGTATTTACCAAGTAGATAAAATTTCAATGATCACTTGGCTGTAACATGTTCAATTTTGTAAACACAGAATGAACATTCAGCATATATGTTATTTAAGGAAAGTTAAAAGTGGAATTATCAAGAAACAGTTCAAGAAATGCCATATTACTTTTGCTAGAACTTACACTCTAATATGAAGAAAATATCTACACATTTATCAGAAAAATATATGGTGAAAGAACTCTGCTTCCAGTTTTTATAAAATGTAAGGGCAGGATATTACTCCCATGGTAATAACTAGGGAAAAAATACATATATCACATTGTAAAAATTACTATAGAGATGATAAACAGAGGTCTAGAGGACTTACAATTACAGGAGGGTAAGAACCTTTCCTATGGAAGTGAACATCAGTGGCCATTTTTCTTCCTAGAAGCCTCCAAATCTAGGAATGGGTTTAGAATTGAGCTTGCCAGAGGCAAAAGCACTCTGCTTGAGGAAAGAAAAACCAAAAGAGTTTTCATCGCCAAATAAGATTGAAGTGACATAGGAATCTGGAGGAGCCTTGAATTTGGTATATCTGATTTTCCCCTATAGAATTTTTGCTGAATGCATGGGATCAGGTTTGAAGGTAAAATGAAATCACCCAAAGTCACATGGTCCTTGGGAGAGCATCTCATTGGAGAAGAAGCCTATAATCAAAATAAGATAGTTCTTCCCATGAAGGAATATGAAACCTGAGATGAACTAACTCTATTGAAAGCTGCAACTTGGCCCCAATTTAGGTTAACTACTGATTGAATTAAGGCGATAAATCCCTAATCCAACTACCTGAAAGGAACCTGCTTCCTCTGCAAGGGAAACATCAATTTCCTTTTCTGTATTCTTTTTTTTTAATATTTATTTTTTAGTTTTAGGTGGACACAACATCTTTATTTTATATTTTTATGTGGTGCTGAGGATCAAACCTAGCGCCTCATGCATGCTAGGCAAGCACGGTACCACTGAGCCACACAACCTCAGCCCCTCTGTATTCTTTTTATATACAGTATCTGGCATACCATTAAAACCTTTAAGATATGCAAAGAAGCAGGAAAACAGGACTTGTAATCAAGAGGAAAACCAGCCAACAGAAGCAGACCAATGGGTAATCCAATGTTGGAATTAACACACAAGAATGGGGTCTGTTATAAATATGTTAAAGAAAATAGGGAAAACATATCATAAAATATAGAATGGAAGGATGAAGAAATTCAATAAAGAAACATAATATAAAAGAATAACCAAGTGAATGTTCTAGAATTACAAATATACCACCTAAAATTAGAAACTCTTTGGATAGATTAAATAATATACTAGATAGAAGAAAGGATTAGTAAACTTGATTACAGGTTAATAAAAATCACTCAAACTGAAGCAGAAAGAGAAAAAAAATTAAAGTATAAGAGTCTTGTTAAATGGTCTACCATAAACATAACTGAAGTACCAGAAGGAGAACAAGAGAGATGGAGCTGAAGTAATATTTGAAAAGATAATGGCCAAAGAGTTAAATAATAACTGTAAGTTATAAATACTCAGGAAATAAGAAAACTGTGATTAAATAGAACACTACTTGTGATTTATATTTTAAACTTTTCCTATTTCAAGGGCAATTATGAAAAATTTTAATTCATGGGATAAAACTTCTATTTTAAGTTTAGTAGTCAAAAATATTAAGAATTCAAATATCTTACAGAATAAAAATTCAATTTCTACCAAAGTGCAACTTTATTTACTCATAACAAAATGTCTGAGAAGTTAGTTTTTTATTTTAATTCTTACAATTTTGATGCTTCATAACAGTTTAAAAGAAATAATGAAACAGTTGAAATCCTACCTGTCTAAAACTTGTACATCTTCACCTTCCTTGTACTTTTAATTCCCCACAAGTAACTGACACAGGAAACAGGACTTAGGATGATACTTACATAAACACAGAAATCAAGTCTTCTCCCTAATGTTATTTAGTAAAATTTCCCCACCCTAATGTTCATTTTTTAAAACAGAAAAAAAAATTAACATCCTTCTAGAAAACCACTATAAGATAGGCACCATTTCTCTATCCAAAACTGTGTTCATTTTTAAGTTTTACTTACTGGCAAGAGAAGAGGGTTTGCTTTCTATAAAATAAACAAATATATAAAAGTGACTGACAGAAAAACTGTTCCTCATTATTAAAGCACAGTAGATGGTTAAGTAAATTTACTTAAACTCAATAAACTATGATGAGAGAGAGAAAATCCTCTCGTTTTCTCCAAAATGATTAGGGAAAAAAATTGATGAGAGTAGAGGGAAAGAGGGCTATGGGTGAGTTAAATGAACAAAGAGAATAAAGCACAATAAGAATTATAAATATTGGGGAATAAGTGAAAGTCAGTGGATGGGGAAAGACAAGAGGTCACAGTGAGAGATGAAGAACCTCTATCCTTAAGTAAGAGTTTGGCCTAAAACTACTTCATTGCTTTAACTGCTATGATTTAAATCCTGAGCCTTGGAGTACAACAAATCTGGTTTATATAACCCAGGTTCTCTGCTTACAAGTTGTTTAGCTTCTCTAAGCCTCAGTTTTCTCTTGTATAATTCAGAATAATACCTATGAAAAAGGTTATTAAGATTCAATGAGATAAAGTATGTAAAGCAGTTACCACAGTTCCTGGCATATGGTATAAAACCACACTATTATCTTCAGTAATTAGATTTTCATCCTGAAATTATTAAAAACAAAAATCGCACCTTCTGTATCATTTTCTGAATTTGATTCACTGAAGCTTTTCCACCGTTCTTTTGCTCTTGAAAGGAAGATTTCATAAAGTTCTGGGGAAAAATTTATAAATTGTAAGAAAGAAATATACTCACATATTTTCATTCTTTACCTATTATAGGTCAGGTCTCCCTGGTATAGTGGATATTGAAAAAAAATAGTACTTAAAAACACTTAATTCTACTGAAACTACTCATTATACAACCAGAAAGATAGCAAATAGAAATGCTGGTGATTGACCATTCAAGAAGTTACAATATAGAATCCAAGTATGAGGCAGGAGGAATGCCATTTTGCTCAAGGAGTGCATAATTTTTGGAGCTAGTCAGACCTAGATTCATATTTCAACCTTGCCACTTAATATCTGCGGGACTTCAAGAACGTTACTTAACTACTCTGGAACTTGGCTTTCTTCATCTGTAAACTACAGAAAAATAACACCTACTCAGAGGTTTACTGATGGTTAAACAAGAGATTTTATGTAAAGCTCCTGGCACTTTATAGACCCTCAATAAATGTTAGTTCTTGCTTTCTTCCTCTCCTTAAATTGGTTTCTCTATTATTATATTGCTAGCTAAAGCTACCGTACTTCATGAGGAATTGGTCTAAAGTCTACATACAAAAATTTTTATCCCTATCTTTATATTTTATGTGCCCTATCACTCACTTTTTGAGAATACCATTATGATCCCATATACAGTCTCATAAAACTTCAGCAACAGAAAAATTGAAACACTTTTCTCAACTCTCAAATTTTAATTGTTTTTACTTTATATACATTACAGATATTTAAAACTACACAAAAATAGCAAATTTCAGTGATAGAAAAGCAAAAAGTATTTCTTGCCCACCAACTTTTATGGATTGTCCAAAACACCAAGAACATTTTTTTTACTTAAATTAACTTTTGTTTTCTTTGCAGTACTGAGAATTGAACCCAGAGCCTTGGGCATGCTAGGCAAGCACTCTACTGAGCTACATTCCCAGTCCTTTTATTTTATTTTGAGACAAAGTCTCACTTAGTTGCCCAGGCTGGTCTCAAACCTGTGATCCTCCTGCATTAGCCTCCCGAATAGTTGGGATTACAGGCATGCATCACTTTGCCAGTGTAAATGAATTCTTATTCAAAATTTATTTTTATTTTGAAAGGTAAAACATGGACATGATTTCTAAAAAATATGAACAGTACAAAATAATACAGAGTACAAACTCAGTTTCCTTCTCTGAGATACAACTATGGTTACCAGAGCTCCCATAAACCTTTCAAAGATGAAAATATGCATGTGAAAGTATATGCCCAGATAGCCTCCTTTAAAAAAAGAAACAGCAACAAAGTAGCAATAGATTACATGCATTGATCTGTATCCTACTTTGTTATTAGAAATTGTTCCACATTAGTAGATACATTTTTTTCCCTAAAAACACAGCATTCCAATGATTGACTATACCAAAACATGTACTCTTATATTGCTAAGAATCAGAACATTATAAAATAACTGACTACATATATGTAAAATAGACTAGCTACTTTAATTTTTTTCTCTTTTTTATTCACTTTTCATTAGTATTAATGGTTTGGAAAGAAATTTAAAAGGAAAAAATAAAACTTCACATTTCTACTACTTGTATTCAATCCCATCAATTTGGTAGAAGAGGTATATATAATTTTAAAATGTATGGAAACAATTATTTGGGGTTATCAGGCACCAAACTTTATCTCCATACTTTTTTTTTTTTCTCTTTGGCACTGGGGACTGAACCCAGGATCTTAAGCATAATTCACACTTTTTAAAATTTCAAACTAGTTTTAAGTCAGGTCAACTTTATTATTTTACACAAATTTTAAAACTGCCTCAGAAGAAGAAAGCTTCAACAAAGAAACCCATTACTTTTAGAAGTCATGAAATTCCTCCAGTAATAAAAATGCAGTGCAGTGATGCATCTCAGAACATCAAAGAATATCTCTCCAGGGAAGATTTTTATAGTTCCTATCTCTAATAAAGAGTTAACTGCATCTCAGTTTAATTCCATACCTGGCTCCCCTGATTTTATTTTTGAACAAAGAGAGAGCTTGAAGCCGGCCTAAGGATCATACCTTACACTTCCTAACAGAATACTTTAATTTCAGTGCATGTTTCTTTCACTTTCTGATTTTATGACAATGATGATACATATACTCTCAGGACAGAGCACTTTCACGAAAAACAATCCTTTGAGATAGCTGATAGGATCTTATCCTCATTTTACAGATGAAGAAAACTAAGACTTCTAGATGTTAAGTAATTTGCCCAAGGTCACAAACCTAATATATACAGTGGAACCAAGATTTGAATCACATTTGACTGACTTTAGAGCCATTACTCTTAGCTACTGCTCTCTAGTGGTCATAAATTTCATGATTAAAACAAATACAACAAGAAAGCATCAAATTATTAGTCATTCCAAAGTAAACAATATTATCTTATCAAAAAATAAATAAAAATTTAGAATCCACACCACAAATGAATAAGAAGAGAATGAATTCCCTATTCCATTTCTAAATACATAAATGTTTGGTAGAGAAGACCTAAAATTATGTTGAAAATAAATGACTTACTTATGTTACAAAACTTATAAAGTTCAAACATAAAAAGAACTTTTTGATTACAGTGTCACAAAAGGTTAACACCTATTGAACCAACATTATAATGTACAAATTACCAAGCTTTCCCACATTCTAAAACCAAAGTTATCAAAACAAAAAAGAAAACTGCAAACAAAGCAAAACAAAACTTCAAATTACCACTAATCAAGACTTTTAAAATCTAACTGAAATTTATGACTATAATATAAAAACATTTCCTTCCAATCTTTCAAGCATAGAAAGCAAATGAATCTTTTGTTTTATTTGAAGAGAACAGCTACATAATATAGAATATAACCTTCTCTAGGGCAAGTTAAATTTTCATTTAATTTTAGTTTTAATTAAACTTTTAATTCTTCTAAGCCCATTATCTCCTATCATCCTATATATAAGACACCTATAATGATCTCTAAAAATTTATAGGACACCTATAAAATAGTTTGATTTAGTTTTTTACAGCTGTCTTATATAGAGGATGACAGAACATAATGGGCTAAACTCTATTTCTTTCTAAAAGTTCTTTAAAATAACATGTTATAACAAGGAAGCTTGTGAAAAATTTTAAAATCATAAATAATCATTATATCCAAAGTTGGTATCACTTTTAAAATTAAGAAAAAGATTTAATTGTTGTTATAATTCTGTCCATTTACTTATAATGCTGATTGCTGCAATGAACATCCTTGCAGAAAAGCTCCTATTCCAGTCCTGCTCACTTCCCCAGAATAAATTATTAGAACTAGAAAAATATGTCAAAGATTATGTTTTTGTAGACTTTGGGCAAATATTTCTAAATTATTTTCAGTCATATCCCATATATGTAATTCTTTAATCCCTTAATTTGAGGGGTAGAAAAACAATACTTAGATATTCTTTGTTTGGTACTGGGGATTGAAGCACTGAGTCTACATCCCCAGCCTTTTTAAAATTTTTTATTTTGAGACAAGTCTGGCTAAATTGCTGAGGCTGACCTGGAACAACACAATCCTCCTACCTCAGCCTCCCAAGTAGCTGGGCATACAGATGTGTGCTACCATGCCTGGCTTTGATATTGTTTTATTTGGCTAGCACAATGAAAACAAATAAACTACAATACAGTCAAGCTGTGGAATATAATATAGCTATAGTACATATGAGGTAGACTTTATGTACTAACATGGGATGTTCAAGATAAATTAGTGTGAAAAAACAAGCCACAGAATAATCTTAAGGCATAAACTACTTAAAAGAATATTTTTTAGTTGTAGGTAGACACAGTACCTTTATTTTATTTATTTAATTTTATGTAGTGCTGAGGATCGAACCCAGAGCCTCGAAAGTGCTAGGTGAGCACTCTACCGCTGAGCCACAACCCCAGCCCGCATAAACTCATTTTTTGTGGAAAAATAAAGAAAAAAGAAAACTTTAACAATGATTACATGTAAATGGATACTTTTCATGCACATGGAGAAAAGATCTAGAAGATCAGATACCAAATTGCCTATAGTGCTTATAACAGAATTAAGAATAAGAGAGTTTGGATTGAAGATACTTAAAATGTCTGAATTTCATTACTGCTTGCATTTTGGGGCGGGGGTGATATGTACTGGGGATTGAACCCAGGGGCCCTTTACCACTGAGCTGCATCCCCAGTCCTTTTTATTTTGAGACAGCATTTTGTCTAAGTTGCATAGGGCTCTGCTAAGTTGCTGAAGCAGGCCACAAATTTGTAATCCTCCTGCCTCGGCCTTCTGAGTAGCTGGGATTACAGGCATATGCCATCACACCTGAAATATGCATTTTTTTTCAATAAATACAAAAAAGAAAAACTTAAAAAGTTACAATAACAATATATTATCTCTATTAAGAGATCTTAAATCTTTCTGTAGTGTTGTCTAGCACTAACATTTTCACTCAGACCTATTTGGCACCATTTTGTTATTTTTCTATTCAATAGCATCATAATTCTATTTAAACTTTAATTCATTAAAATTATTTTACATGTTACTACTATCTGTCAAGGTTTTTAGAAACTTAAATAAGAAAACTCCTTGAGTCTCCTTACTTTTTCTGATTTTTAAACTTCAAAAATTTAAATAAAAAAAAAACTCCAAAAGGACTGATATGGATAGAAAAGTAGGAAGACATTTGTAGCCTTTCTGCAATATTTGGTTTTGAGTAAAGGGGAAGCCTTTGCATATAGACTATTTTCTCTGTCCTTGCATATATGTATTCTCTCATTGCTATAGACTCTTAGAAGTTTTTGAAATTGACTAAGTTTATAATATTTGAATGTCAAGAATAATACTGATAGATGTACACTAAAGGAAAAAACCACAATCTTATTTATATAATAAGAAATGTAGTAACTTATTAAGTCATAAAGTTTGCAAGGAATGAAGCATGCTCTTAAAATGACATTTATGGTAGTGCCTTTTTAAAAGGCCATTCTACTAATTTGCTTTATAACTCTGGAAATGACTATTTGTATGTGTGGGAATAACTGAACATAGAATACAAACCAGGAGTGATATTTAGTTCATTTCCTACAGCTAGACTCCAAACTTTCCCACGAACACTAGGGGGCAATCCCTGCCACCACAATTCTCGAACTCTTCTTGTACTACGCCTAGAATTAAAGGAGGAGAAAAAAGGAGAAAGTTACTTTTTATACCAAAAATACTAGTTGCATGATGGTTTACCTACGGCCAAGTGATCAGATAGTTTTCAAGAATACAGAGAGTTAAATATGTAACACATTCTTTCCTCTGGGTTTCATGCTTATAGACAACAAAAGCCTACAAAATATTCATTACCTCAAAGATGGACAATATTAATTTGAAGAGGGCTACCTTTGACAGATACCCCTTAAACTAAAGATACAATAAGAATCAGAAATATATGGACAATTATAAAAACCAGGATAAGAGGGGCATAAAATGTGTGGCCAATCCAGTACCAAAAAAAAAAAAAAAGAAAAGAAAAAAAAATCACAAAGAATCTACTATAGGTAAGGCCCTAGTTTTTGAGGGGCAGTAGTCTGCTGAAAGAGTGTAGGCTTTGCAGTCAGACCTGAGTTGAAATCTAGTATATTCACTAATTGTATAACCTTGGGCAAATCACTTAACCCTGTCTAACTTTGAGCTTTCCTGTAAGATAAATGTGAACAAAAATACAAACACCTTATAATATTACTAAGAATTACATGTGATTACTTGTATAAAAACATAATATAACACTGTAGTCCTCTCACTTCTCTTCAGGGGATACATTCCAAATTCCTAGTGGATATTTGAAACCTCAGACAATACAGAACTCAATATATACCATGTTTTTTTCCTAATATAGACATACCTACAATAAAGCTAAGCTTAAAAATTAGGCACGTAAAAGATTAACAACAATAATGAAATTTTAACATTTATAAAAAAATACTGAAATAAAAATTACATTTTCTCAAAAAATCTGGTTCTTTTATCTTTTCAACTAAAGGAAGTACTTTAAGCATCTCTTTGACATGTTTGAATTACAGGCATCACTACTTTTGCACTTGAGGCCATTAATAAGTAAAAGAAGGGTTATTTGAACATGAGCACTGCAAGACCATGACAGCAGTTGTGATACCCAAAAACGCTATTAAGTGACTAATGGGCAGATACTATATACAGCATGGATATACAATGTGGATATGCTAGGAAAAGGGACAATTTACAACCAGGACAGAGTGTGATGGCACAAGATTTTATCACACTTCTCAAAATGCTGTATGATTTAAAACTTGAGAATTGTTTATTTTTGGAATTTTCCATTTAATATCTTCAGACCTTGGCTGAACACAAGGTAACTGAAACTGCAGAGAGAGAAATGGATAAAGTAGGTCTACTCTGTCTTACATTGTTAATATTAAACAAATCATCAATGTACATCCTAGACTAGGCACTGCAGAAGATATCCCCAACCCTCCAGTCCAGAGGGAAGATAAAGCATTTACAAAAATATTATCAAAAAACAAAAGTCAAAATAAGGCAGGAAGTATATTAGTCTCAAAATATGATGATGAGACATTTACTGAAGAGAAAGATTATCTATAACACATTTCCCTAATTGTGAGAGAGGCATTTTAACATCACTTTAATACTTGATAAATGATCTTAAAATGAATATATGTTTGCTTGTTCTAAAACCTGCTATTATATCAATAATGCATCTTACATTAATGGTATAATAGAATGAAGAAAATTTGGTAAGTAAGGAGACTAAAAGTTTCATGAATCAACTAAAATTTTTTAGATGAGTCGCAATGGATAGGGGAAAGATTTTGATAGGCACAGAAAATGGCCAGTAAGAGAAGTACATATTAGAAACTGAGGGATTTATAAAAGCAAAGACATAAAGATAAACATGGAGATTTTCAGGCATTGATTGATTAGTGGTATAATTTAGCCAAAGCATAAGATACCTGACAGAAAGTAATAAAAATATAAAACTGGAAAGACAAGAAATTTGGATATGTACTTCAGGAAAAGTATGCTTACTTACATGACTTCCCAATTGGGCAGTATTTCATTGATCCAAATTACCATTGCACTTGCAATATTTTCTTCCTGTTTAAACCGTTCTTTCATTATTCTTTTTCTTTTATGTGCTTCTTTAATTTCTATATTAAAAAAGTAAGAATTATTTCAGTACAAATGAGCTAGATCAAAACCCCCTTCGTCTACCTAACTATAAAAAAGAGGTTTTCTCAAAAGAATCTTGTGATGGTAGAGAGGAGGAAAGGGAAAGTAGGAAAGGAAGAGAGAAAAAAATGGTCTTGATTTACATAATTTAAAAATAATATTCTATTCTACAAAAGTAAATGGAGGGGTTGGGTTGTGGTTCAGCGGTAGAGCACTTGCCTAGCATGCATGAGGCACTGGGTTCGATCCTCAGCACCACATAAAAATAAAAAATAAAGATGTTGTGTCCACCGAAAACTAAAAAATAAATATTAAAAAATTCTCTGTCTCTAAAAAAAAAAACAAATAAAATAAAGGTATTATGTAAAAAAAACCTAAATGGAATAAAGACGATAAAAATCATTCCCATAATAAATTGCTATTTCACATATTTATATTTTTACTTAAGGTACAAAGTAAAATCCTTTATGCATTAACTATGTAAAAAAGAAACAACTATGAGCAACTAACCAATACTCATTTTTCACAGAGGGGCTTATGAATCTCTTAATAATAAACATCATGACATTAAAAATCATTTTGCCAAGTTCAAGAATAAAACTTTTAAAAGGGCTAGAGCAGCTGGGTGTGGTGGCACATGCCTATAATCCTAGCGACTTCAAAGGCTGAGAAGGAGGATCACAAGTTCCAGGTCAGCCTTGGCAACTTAGTGAGACCCAGTCTCCAAAAAAAAAAAAGAAAAAAAAAAAAAAAGCAGTGGTAGAACAACTCTGGGTTCACTCCCAGTTTAAAAAAAAAAAAAAAGATAACACTATCCAAGGGGTTGTCAGTATTTGCATTCAGACCAGTTCAACCCCTCTGAGTCTTAAAATTCTCTATATAATTCCATCACTTATGCTACAAACTCAACAAATTCTAATAAAAATTAATTAATTAAAAAAATAAAAAAGAGCTGGAAAAATAATTTTGGTAGCACTATTAGTATACGAGCCTTTTTTGATATGATGTTTCACATTACTAATTAGATTGAAATAAAAAATTTCCCCCCACAAACTTATGTTTGCAGAAAATAACATGTCTAGAAATCAGAAGTCAGTTTCAGAAAAATAAGTGAAGAGAGAAATAAATCATAAATCATATATATAAAGCATTGTATATAATTTTAGAACCAGTGACGACTTTAGAGATCAGCTAGCCAAACTATTTTCAACTATTTCATATATGCCTCAGAAACTATCTTGAGGGGCAAGGAGGATATCAAAGTAGCTCCACTTTCTTACGTTTGTTTAATGTATTTAGATTCTATATGTAAAATATTCCACTGCTTTAAAAAAAAAGAATGTTGGCCTGGGGATGCAGTTCCGTAGTATAGTGCTTTTTTAGCATGCATGAGGCCCCAGGTTCCATCCCAGTACTACAAAAAAAGTATTAAAGGGAGGCTTGAAAAACCGGATCTAGTCAACTTCCTCCCATATTCTACAGATTAGGAAACTAACATTAGGCCTATTTAAAGTATCAAAGTCACATTAAGATCAAATAAGATTAAAGTTGTGGCCTTTTGATTTCACAATTTAATATTATTTATATCATATATTTTTAAGGATCATTGAATTATCTATAACTATCTTAAATATTAATCAAATAGTAAAGTCAATGTTAGAAGCCAGTAAAATCTCACTGGGTATGTTAGAAATAGTTCAAATTCTGTATAGTAAAATAAACTCAGTTAATGTTTAAATTTTTTTTTTTTGGTGGGGAGGGGACTAGGGATTGAACCCAGAGGCACTTTATCACTGAGTCACAGCTCTTTTTATTCTGAGACAAGGTCTTGCTAAGTGGCTTAGAGCCTTGCTAAATTGCTGAGGCTGACCTTGAACTTGTGATCCTTCTGCTTCAGTCTCCTAAATCACCAGGATTACAAGCGTGCGCCACCTTGTCCAGCTCTGTGCAGGCATTTTATAAAGATATAACTGGCCTTATGTATACTGTTTAACAATAAATAAGCAACTTAATTTCCAAAATATAACAAAACCAGAACTGTATACTATTGTAATATCCCATTTATATAAGTTAAAGGAAAAAAAATCAGTTGTTAATAGTTCTAAAAAAAATATTAGCTGTGTAATATTTTCTTAAAATACATATTTATCCTGAACTAACAATGGTCAGTATATAAATATTGTTAAGGTATTCTTATATTACTTTTTTGGACTGGAGAAGAAAATTAAAAAAGAAATGTCAGTTTATATTCATGAAATAATAAAATTTAAGACTGGAGAGACTATAAGTCACAAATGTAGATTATATTCTCACAGCCACTTAAGAAGTTATCTTTAAATATTAAAAACTATTAAATATCAAAAATCTAAACATTGTAAAAAATGACATGTATGAGTAAATTCATGAATATGTTCATTTATAAACTGAGACAGTAGGAGTCCAAGTTTTATGACTACAATTTCAAGATATAGACAGTCAGTTATCTTTCTCCTCGTTAGTTTTGTAAAAGTTCTTGCACAAAAATTATGCACTTACTCCTCTTTAAAAACAAACTTAATTATAATAGTAGTAGAGAAAAAGAATTCAGTATCACCTTGAAGACAGAATTTATAAATTTCACTATCTTCCTATCAAAATTAACTTATTAAAATCAGAAAATTAACTATCCCACTTAAAGTTAAATTTTATACCTCGTTTTTTAGCCTCAGCCACCATCTCATCATATTCTTGTCGGTGACGTAAAGCTTCTTCCACAGATTTAGCAGGAAGATTTCTGGGGGGAAAAAATTACTTGAATCAAGCCAGTTTTTCATTTTTTATTTCTGTGGTGCTGGGATCAAATCCAGGGCTTCACATATGCTAGGCAAGCACCTCCAGCCAAAGTCAATACCCCTCCTATCACCATTATTACTAAGGATTAAACCCAGGAGCACTGTACCACTGGGCTACATTCGTAGACCTTTTTATTTTGAGACAGAGTCTCACTAAGTTGCCCAGGCTGGCCTCAAACTTGCAATCTCCTGCTTCAGCCTAGGATTGCAGGCAGGTGCTACCATATCCAGCCCATGACAATTTTTAAAAGATTAACTTTTTATTTACTCTTCAGAGCCAGATATAAAGAATTTCTAACTTAACTTTCACATTTCATACATTTAGAAAGTGAAAGGATATTAAAGAAGAATAAATCATGGCATTTGTAGGTAAATGGATGGAGCTGGAGAATATCATGCTAAACGAAATAAGCCACTCCCAAAAAACCAAAGGCTGAATGTTTTCTCTGATAAGTGGATGCTGATCCATAATGGGGGGTAGGGTGGAGGCTAGGGAAGAGTGAAAGAACTTTGGATTGGGTGGAGGGGAGGGGGTGTGGGAGTGAGAAGGATGATGGAATGAAATGGATATTATTACCCTATATACATGTATGATTGCATGGCCGGTGTGGCTCTGCATCATGTACAGTAGCCAGAGGAATGAGAAGTTGTGCTCCATTTGTGTATAATGTGTCAAAATACATTCTGCTGTCATGTATAACTAATTAGAACAAATTTTTAAAAAGCAAAAAAAAAAAAAAAAAGAAATAAAAGAAAGTTAAAAACTAAAAAGAACTCTGTATTTTAGAACAGAGCCAGAATCTAGGTTCCTATTATTTATAGTGTATATATTTCATGTATCTATAAATATTTATATATTTAAACATTTTAGACCTCAGCCAATACTTAAACCCACTTGCTAGAGTTTTCATTTTTTAGTCAAATTTTTGAGGTATAATTTACATATTATAAAATGAATAAACATTTTAAGAGTAATTTGATGTGTTTTGACAAATGTATTTATTCATGTAATCAATACCCCAGTCAGGATATAGAACCATCCGTCATACTATAAGTTTCCTTACAGCCCCTTTGCGCCCAATGCTTACCCACATCCCATTTTACAAAAACTATATCTCTAATTTCTATTACTTGTTGTTGCCTTTATTAGAATTTCACTTAAGCCAGGTGTACTGGTGCATACCTGTAATTCCAGATATGTGAGACGCTAAAGCAGGAGGATCGTAAGTTTGAGGCCATCCTGGGCAACTTAGTGAGACCCTGTCTTAAAATTAAAAAAAAAAAAAGGTAGGGGGAGGGAGTGTGGCTTAGTGGTAAAAGCACCCCTGGGTTCATTCCCCAGTACCAATTTTTAAAATTTAAACTCTTTTGTGTTTAATTGCTTTTGTTCAGCCCCCACCCTTTTAAAAAAATATTTAGTTTTAGGTGGACACAACATCTTTGTTTTGTATGTGGTGCTGAGGATCGAACCCAGGCCGCACGCATACCAGGCGAGTGCTCTACCACTTGAGCCACATCCCCAGCTCAGCCCCCTTTTGAAATTCATCCATGATGTATTAGTAAAGTATTTCTTTTAACTGCTGAGAAATATTTAATTTATCCATATGGAAGGACATTTGAGTTGTTTCCAATTTGGGGTCATTATGATTACCACTATACATAGTAAAGTCAAATCTTTGTGTGGGTATTTGCTTTCATTTCTCTAGAATAAATATCTGAGAGTAGAATTCTTGGATCATATGGTTAAGTGCAGGCATACCTTTCTAACAAACTGCTAAACCTCTTTCAATTTATTAGAGGTTTAAGATGACATTCTCCCTAAAACTGTGATAATTAATCATATATATAACATTTTTCATTACCAAATCAAATCACTGATTTAGATATATGAAAATGTAAAAAGAAATACATTTGTATATCATCATTTACCAAATGTATCATAGTAATGTCCAATTTTAGGAATCTTTTTTTCTTTTCAACAAGCTAAGGTGAGGAAAAGCATGACACAATTTTTTCAATTTTACATTCTACCTTTTCCTCTCAAGTTAGTCAGATATTCAGGTATGTTTTAGCAAGAACGAATAAAGCTTAAGAATTCTGCTTCAAGTCATAATAGAATAAGAGCAACTAAGTTTACCCCATTGTTTCAAGTAATTTTAAAAATGGCAGGTCTGAAGGTGTATACCTATAATCCCAGCAGGAGGATAGAAGTTTCAGCCCAGCTCAGCAACTTAGGCCCTAAGCAGCTTAGTGAGACCTGTCTCAAAATTAAAAAAAAAAAAACAAAGGGCTAGGGATATAGCTCGGTGGTAAAAACTTCCTGGGGTTCAATTCCCAGTTAAAAAAAAAAAATTAAAAAGGACAAAATATATTAAACAACAGGTTTCAGACAATGGATAACAGGTAACACAAGACAATGACTCTACAATTCCTGATCTTACTGCCTGAAGTTTCCAGGTCTCATATTGGCAGAGGAGAATTAAAAACAGGTCCCATGAGGCTTCCTGAGTTGAGGCGGCAATTGGGAAGTCCAAAATAGCTAGAAGTTTCTGATCAGAAAACCAGAAAGAAGGGAGCTGCAGAAAAGTCCTCCCAAGTCTTTTGCAGTGTGTGTGTGTGTGTGTGTGTGTGTGTGTGTGTGTGACTAAACTATGGCCAGGAAAAGAACCACCAGAGAGGAATAGCTTGAATATTTTCAAAGATCACATGGGACTAGTCAGAATGTAAAGCCCTACTAAAAGAGTATCAGATAGTGTCCTTAGAAAGGCATTGACTTAGGTAATTAGGACAATTAGTTATTAGGACAATTAGTAATTAGGACAAATTTGTCCCAGACTAAAGGCTTTTCTAGAAACACTCTAACAAAGATTAGCTTAAAAGGATCAAGCCAATTCCAAATAACTACATACCAGAATAAAGCCAAAAGATATACCTTTATAAGAATACAAAAAGTACAGCATCCAGCCATGTAAATCACAACTTTTGTCATCCCATAAGCATTACCAGAGATGTGAAGAAACAGATAAATACAATCAACAGCAACTATCCTATCATATAATGGATGATAGGATTATAACACAAGCATGATGAAATACCTGTTATATACTATACACACATGCATACTTACAAGATAAAATAAATCATGAGTATGATGAGACCTCAGAACCTAAATAAAACTTTTGCTTTTCTTTTTTATTTTTTTGCAGTGCTAGGGATCAAATCCAGGGTCTCATACAAGCTAGGCAAGCACTCAACCACTGAGCTTTGCCCCCCAAACACTAAGATAAACAATTTCTAAAATAAAAACACACAAAGTAAGACTCTCAGCAAATTACACACTGAAGAAAGAAATGGATGAACTTGAAGACATACCAACTTAAAAACTAGATAAAATGAAATACGTAAAATACAAAAAGAGGGAGAGAAAGCCTAAATTAATTGGAAGATGTGGAACAACATCAAGCAGCATAACAAGCTTAATTGCCATCTCAGAAGAAAGGAGGGTGAAAGCAAAACAAACAAAAAAAATTGAAGAAATAAAGGCTAAAAGTTTCTGAAATTGACAGAAGACTATAAATATAAAGATACATTAAGCTTAACAAACCCCAAACAAAAAATGAAAACCACACCAAAGCATATGATAATCAAATTGAGGGGAAAAAACAAAAAAATGAGAAATCGAAAAATTATTAAAAGCACTCAAAAAGAAGAAGAATTCACTGTTAAGAGACTATCACTACAAGAAATGTTTAAAAGAAGGAAGAAGAAAAATGACACCACAGGAAATATGGGGTAGTAAAGAGAGCACAGATGGCCCAAGGTATTACCTGGCAATAGAAATTAGCAAAATACTAGTTCTGCCTATTCCTAATCAACCACTTATAAGAAGCAAGGCACCAATAGCAGTGGCACATATCTGTAATCCCAGTGGCTCAGAAGGCTAAAGTAGAAGGAACTCAAGTTTGAGGCCAGCCTCAGCAACTTAGTGAGGCCCTAAGCAACTTAATGAGACCCTGTCTTAAAAATAGAAAGGGCTAGGGATGTAACTCAGTGGTAAAGCACCTCTGGATTTAATCCCTAGATCCCTAGTACTCTCTCTCCAAGCTACAAAAAAAAAAAAAAAAAAAAAAATAGAGAGAGAGGGCTGGAGCCAGCAGCAGAGCGCTTGCCTAGCAAATAAAATGAAGACATTTTGTCCATCTATAACTACAAAAAAAATTTTAAAGAGAGAGAGAGAGAAAGAGAGAGAGAGAAGCAGGAACCAGGTGACTGCATGTATGATACTTAACAAACATTTTTTGAAAACTAACAAATATAATGAGATTGACAACTAACAAATATAATGGTTGCCCTTGATATTGCTAGAGAAGATGAAAAAATGAAAGAATTAACTCAGGAATTCAAATTCCCAGCTAAAGTATCCATAAATGACTGAAAGCATCTTTGTATGCTCTGAAGAAGACCCTTACTTTCCTTGACAGGCTGAGAATGCTGAAAATCAGTTTATTCATGCAATCAGTTTCAGAATCTTATCCTGTAATTGGCTGAATTTCAACAAAGTTGAAGTCCTAACTTCACAGGTATTTCTTGTTAAAGTGAGGGTACTGTTTGGGAAGGAATGGGATCATGAAAGTTGGAATGGAGATGTGTAGGAAAAGCTTGATGAAGCTGGGGACACTACACCTCTAAATTCTGGTGAGTAGAAGACACTTCTACACCATGGTAGGAAGGAATTGATCTCTGCACTGACTGAGCAAACAGTAACAACCTTCCTGGAGGCAGCAGACCTCCTCAGGACCCAATCTTTAACTCTTTTTGATTCTAGACCTAAAAGTAGACTTGAACCCAGAAGGCTGCTTAAGGTAAAATACCAAGTGAGAACCATGAGAAGGTACATTACATGCCCAAAAAACTATCTGAATTTTCTAATTTATACAGACAGAATGTGGGGAGCACATATGAACATGAATATTAATAAAAGATACTAATAGATTGTGAGAATATGGGATAATGGTAGAAACAAGGACTAATGTTGAATAAAGCTGGATTAACAAATTTATTCATAAGGACTAAGGACAGATTCTGAGTTTAATGCTGCTGCTTAGGAATTTAAAAAGGCTCTAACAGTTGTTTAGTTGCTTGGCTAAAATATGAACCAAAAGACAGCCCACAGTGAGTTGAAAATGCCAGCTTTGATTTTTTTTTTTGAGAGAGAGAGAGAGAATTTTTTTTGAGAGAGAGAATTTTCTTTTTTTTTTTTTGAGAGAGAGAGAGAGAGAGAGAGAGAGAGAGAGAGAGAGAGAATTTTTAAAAAATATTTATTTTTTAGTTTTCAGCGGACACAACATCTTTGTTTGTATGTGGTGCTGAGGATCGAACCCAGAGCCCCGTGTATGCCAGGCGAGCGTGTTACCGCTTGAGCCACATCTCCAGCCCCAGCTTTGATTTATTTTACAGGAAGAAATCCAAAGACTTACAGATATTGGAATGTTAGAGTGGGGTTTCTCATTTAAAATCTACTCACTGGGGTTAAGACCTGTTCTGGAAATTGAACTTTTCAGGTAGTTCTACACTGGATTTTTTCATTTAGGTTTCATTTTTTTCTTTTTCTTTTTTTTGGAAATTAATGTTTAAAATACCTACATACAACTCTTAAAATAGCACACAAACAATAACTGGCTTATTAGTTAACCTAAGTACTGGTGTCACCTTCTTCAATCATCATTTTTGCAAAAAAACTTATTGTACAGTAGGTGTTCAATGATTATGATCCAAAGTTGAATGGACCATATAGTAAATATCCTGTCAGTCTTTGACAGTTTGAAAAAGAGAAGTAGTAGTATACTCTAAGTAACTTTATGCTATACAATGAATAAAGCAGAAAAACACATATATACATAGAAGGCTTTGGGGTAACTCACTAATTTAGTGTTCATCTATCTGGAAAAGTATTTTAAAATAGGATTTTTCAGTCTTAAAAATCAAAGGATGAATGAATATAATCCATCAAAAAAGATTACGTACCTCACTCAGCATTCTTAGGAACTACAAGAAAAAGACACAGCTTAAATATGATTCTTACCTCTTATAGAAGTGTAAATTAGTTATGGAGTTAAGACAAGTAACCATAATGAATAACTAAGATATTATATGTTAAATACATGGTATAATCATTTGCTGCTATGATCACTTTTCAAAGGTATCACATAAAAACCTATACTTTTGGTCACTTTTTTTACTTGTATCTTCAGGAGTTCTACTATTTTGTTTGGCACTGGTGTGTAAAGTAATTCAGTAAAGAAGCTAGAAGAGGGGTGGGGATGTAGCTCAGTTGGTAGAGTGCTTGCCTCACATGCATGAGGCCTTTTTAAAAAAAAAAAAAAACACAACATTATTTTTTAGTTGTAGTTGGACACAATACCTTTATTTTGTTTATTTTTATGAGGTGCCGAGGATCAAACCCAGGGCCTCGCACATGCTAGGCAAGTGCTCTACCACTGAGCCACAACCCCAGCCTCTCTTCAACGCTAGTTTGATTTTGAAGGAGACTGGAATGGAAACAGGCAGAGGAAAAATAAAATTAACAAAAGAATAAAATTACAGAAATTCTCATATTTAAAATCCTCTAAATGAGACTTCAGATGATTAAAAGCTATAATTTTTCCATCTGTAATGAAAAGTTTCAATTATAAAAGCTTGTAAAGTCCAAGTTTCCAGAATACATTGAAATTAGAGACCAAGAAAAGAAAAAGTAGAACCATCACAAACTTCCTTTGCAGGGAAACTCCTCCTCTTTATATTATCACTGTGGCCTATGGAAAAATAAGCTTGCAATATCAATTGCCCACTGAGGAAGAACTTCTCTTTTTGCATGTGTCTGACAGATGACTTCATAGCTGAAACAGTGGCATTACCACATGCCCAAAAAGCAAGAAAGCCATCTTGAACCCACCTGTACTCACAAACAGAAGAAACCTAAAAGTTACACAGATCTGTGCTCCAAACTTCCCAGTCTATGACTGGACAGATGTTAGCTGGCCCAATCTATTAGGAAGGTATTCTGGAAGAGATAAATTGGGAGTTTATTCAGTTGTACCTATCTATTCCTGTTTGGTTTTATACTCAATAAAATTGAAGTTTTCCTTCTTTTCTCTCTCTCTTTAGGCAAGCCCTCTACCAACTGAGCTATATCCCAGCCCATTTTCCTTCTTTTCTCTGAATCTACTTTTCAACTGGTTATACTAGAAGGAGGGATAAGTAATTAAGCACCCTCATATTCCAACATCATGTAAAGGTTCTGTTTGTTAGCTTTAGTTATATAAATGTGAGTCACATAAATCACTCCCTGCCAAAAGACTTTTCAAATTTAAAAAGATAAACAAAATTATTAATCACAGCATCTTAGATTTGAGAGAAATAGAGATCAATTTAATTCACAGATGGGCCAGCACACAGAAACAGAAAAAAGCTACACTATTTATTATCATTAATAAATTAATTTTATATAGTTCAATAGCAGAGTCAAAAAGGGAAGTGCTTTTTAAGCTGCTTATACCTTTTTGGTACACTGAGATCTTTTCATAAGGTTATTGTGTCTTGTATTTTACTTGAAGTCAATTTCATAGAACATTACTTCTAGGAACTGTGTGTACAAATTATAAGAATAGTTTAAAGAAGTAGAAATCACTGAAGATTTAACAAGTCAACAAAGACAATATAAAAGATAAGCCTTAACCCTTAAAGTACTGGGTAGGTTTGAAATAGAAATAAGATAATGGCTTTTCAAGTGAGCATAATAATATGAACAAAAGCATGATGGCAAGAAATAAAACAAAGGTGTGATATATAATAGAGTATGGTGTAAAGAAACATTGTCTAGAACAGAACTTTGTAGGGTATTTTCATAAATGCCCTCTGGTAAGAAATTATCATTCTTGGTAAAAAAGCATAAAACATTCTGGATGAATTTTAATAAAGCTTAGAAAAACTCTTCTGGGAACTGAATTTATCTACCTACTCAGCTGACAGTCAGGAGTCTAAAGAGCTTTAACCAAATATTCTTTTCTTGCTTTCTCTAACCATTCTTGCTTTTCTATAAATGTCTCCATCAAGAAAGGAATCTTTGAACTGGCCTGCTTCATTTTCATACCTCATAGTAAGTCTGAAATACAACTTTCACATGTTCTCATGACAAAATATCTTAAAAGCTTTTTCTTAACAATTGAAAAATAATTATCAAATCAAAGAGTTGTATCAAAGTCACAATTCTTTAGTCAGAAGAAATATAACCAAAATAAAAAACAAGAAAGGCTAAGAATGTTCACAATGGAAAGAAAAAAATCTAATAAAAAAATAATACTCCTGAAAGCCCAAGGAAGATGAAAGGAGTTTAAGAAACAAATGGTTTGCTTTAGGGAGGATATATTTTGATTCAAAATAAATCTGACAATATTTTGAAGAACAGCAGCACTGTAGAAAATACAAAGAGTTCAGAGCTGAGAAGAAAAGAATTTAAGATGTTTTTCTGGGTATTAAGATTAGATTCTTAGGCTGGGGCTGGGGCTCAAAGGCAGAGTGCTCGCCTACCACTGGGTTCGATCCTCAGCACCACATAAAATAAAACAAAGCATAATAACATGAACAAAAGACATTGCGTCCACCTATAACTAAGAAATTTTTAAAAATTAGATTCTTACTGGGGATTAAACTCAAGGCCTTGTGTAAACACACACTCCCATCACTGAATTATACCTCCAGCCCCTCAAAATATATTCTTCTTTTCCCCCAAAGAATATTAATATTTATTTGAAAATAGCAGAACACTGCAATGGCAATAGCAAAGCCATACTGGTACTGCATGTGTCATAGTGAACTATGGGTACACTCAAAGAAGCTGAGACAAGGGGAAGTTTTTAAGGACAAAAATGAGGAGAATCACATTGGCTATTTTGAAACAATAATCTTTGAGGTTGAACAGAAGCTGCTGAGCAAAAGTCATTGTAGAAGTATTCTCTTTTTTTAAATACATGACAGTAGAATGCACTCAAAATACATTCTTAATCATATATCAACTGGTTGACATTCAGTAGTCACATGGTAAAAAGGGCAAGGACAAATACATCTTAAGTACATACTAAATGACATGAAAAAAAAAAAAAAGATAATTTCCCCATGATACTAAGAAGCAGAATGCTGAAACAGAGACAAAAAGAGCCACATTTTGTTTTTGAATTTGTTTTTGTGATGGGGTCTTGATATGTTGCTCAGACTGGTTTTATTTCCACTGAGCCACATCCCAACCCTTTTTATTTTTCATTTTGAGACAGAGTCTTGCTAAATTGCTAAGGATGGCTTTGACCTTATAATCTTCCTGCCTCAGCCTCCCAAGTTGCTGGGATTACAGGCAAGCTCCACTGTTTCCAGCATGCAGACTGATTTTGAACTTGTGAGTTCAAGTGATCCTCCCATCTCAGCCTCCCAAGTAGCTAGGACCATAGGCACCATACCTGGCAAGAGTCAAGATTTTGTTTTATATATTGACTTACAGATATTTCTAGAATATATGCCTAAGAATTGAATATCATCAATATGTTCTCTCCTATTAGGATACATGACTGAGATTTAAATTTTTTAAAAAATTGTTTTCTCTGATTTCTTGATATCTTTTATGTGAAACAGTGAACAAAATTAAATCTAAGTTTAAAACATAATAGTGCTCTCAATGATCACTAAATACTTACGATGGTCGATCCTCAAGAATCAAGGCAGTGGTAGAAAGTGGCTCAAATTCAAAATTCTTTCGTCTTGAAGACTGAGGTGGTGGTTTACAGGTCCTCCCTGTTCGTGCTTCATACTCCTATGGTACATGAGATATAGTTTATGTAGAGATTTTCTTGATTTTCAGTTCATATTATTAAATCTCTATCATTAAAGATATTATAATATAAATATATATGTCACAGATTAATTTTGTAAAAATATCAGGAAGCTAAAAAATAAGTCATATTTTTCCTGAAGCAACCTAAATTATTAATTTATTTTACATACAAAGTATCAAAGTGTGTAAGGAGAAGAAAAGATAGAAATAAACTCAATTAGGAAAAGATTTAAGGACATGCTTTTTATTATCTTCTATGGTATCAAATATCCAAGTCCAGCTTTCAATAATCTGTAAGCAAATAAATCTATTTTCTAAAGCTTTAGTCAGATCAACCATGGAACTGTTGAGATAGAATACAGACAATTCTGTTGTAATATTTTGAAAAGCTTTCTTCAGGATAACACTGAACCTCAAATCAAATGGTGGTTTTGGATTTTAACCCTCTGTGCACCTAACTACTATGAATATACTACTTACTCCATATTTTACACTTTACCACACATTTTATCCAAAAATATGACCCAACACTCTGTCAAACAATTAACTAAAACTAAGAGACTTTCTATAATGTTTCTCTAACTCACTGAAACTGATAATCCTATTAAAAGAAATAAATTAACATAATATACTCTTTTTTATTTTTATTTCTTTAGTGGTACTAGGTATTAAACCCATGGGTGCTTTACCACTGAGCTACATCCCTAGGCTCCCCCTTTATATTTTGAAAAAAGGTCTCGCTAAATTGAAAAGCCTGGTCTCAAACTTACAGTCCTTTTGCCTTAGCCTCCCAAGTCACTGGGATTCCAAGCATGCACCACAAGCTTGCCTCTCCCTCCATTCCCTGGAAAAGGATGGTTATTTATTCTTAGCATACAAGATTTTTTTTTTTTGTTTTTGGCAGTGCTGGGGATCAAACCCAGGACCTTGTACATTCTGGGCAAGTGCTCTATCACAAAAGCATATCCCCAGTCCCATAATATGTTCTTGATGAATGCATTTAAATTTTTCCATTTGAGCATTCTTTCATAAATGTTCATAACTTTATGAAATTTATGTGCCAAAGATCAGTAACAAATATACTAGCTTGGAATTTACAGAACCCACTCTTCCCCTTTCTAAAAAACCAAGTGAGCATCTGATTATCAATGGGTACCAATTATATTTTTCATGAAATTCTCAAAGATTATTCAATGATTTTATGAGTCACACAAGTTGACTAGAGGTTTGAGACGACATTAATATACATGAAGAAAATGGTCAGATGTTTCACTTATTATAATGTTACTTAACTACCATGGCCTATAATTATTTTTATTCTAGTATTACATCTTCTCCATCTCTAGTATTACATCTCAAAGACTATTTCTCCCTACTAATCAAACAATTACAAAATGTGAATCGATGGCTCTATCCCTCTTAAATATTTGGTGAAATTGATGGGGTTGGGGTTGTAGCTCAGTGGTAGAGTGCTTGCCTAGCACGTGCGAGGCCCTGGGTTCAATCCTCAGCACCACACACAAAAATATATAAATAAAATAAAGGTCTTGCGTCCAACTACAACTAAAAAATAATTTTACAAAAATTTGGTGAAATTGAACCCTAATCTTATTTGAGATAAACTGTTTTTAAATGACTTGTGTTTTCTTAGGAATTCTCTATGAACTTCATCTTACTTTGTGATGCTACCCACTGTTTATAAAGGATTGTATTATTGTTTAACATTCACCTTTAGTTCTGTATCCCTACTTCCATATATTAAGTCTATACTCAATTAATCTGAGAGTTCCCTTGCTTAAGTGCACTGATATTTCTCCTTTCTCAAATTATTTAGAATTATATGTGCCCAAGTTTATGAGCACTTATTACAAAGAACCATACAGCCGTTCTGAGTCAAAAGACATAGGGTCATTTTTTTTTCTTTTACAATTTTCTTTCCTAACATTCAGGATATATTCCTAATGTTCAATGTTTCCTTTTTTCTTTACCAATTTCAGAGTAACAGATTCTTGTTCTGCTAATAAATATAGAATGTTATAATTCAAATTCTGTATAATTTAAATAGTACTTTGGTTTCCTACATTGTGACTCAGTTTCACTGAATTCAATGCATATTATCCAATTTGGCAAACAAGTGCCAAATACATACACAGCAAATTGAACTTCTAATTAATACATTAATATTTATAGCAACTAGTACTTACTCACACTATGTATCATGCACTGTAAACACTTAGCACATTTAATTCTTAACCATATCAGATACCTCAAAGTAAAGGAAAATGGGTACACTCACTTGCTGAGTATGTCATATGTAGCAGACAGTCTACTCCAGGGCCTGGCTTTCAAATATTTACTATCTTGCTATATTAACAGTGAAGTAACTATTTATGACAATTAAGAATAAAGAGACTGACAGAAATCATTCAGTGAAAGACTCAGAGGAACTGGGACTATGAGGTATAGCTGAATAGTGAAGCACCTGCCTAGCATATGTGAGGGGTTCAATCCCCAGTACCAAAAAAAAAAAAAAAAGAAGTACGTGGCTGGGTGGTAGCTCAGTGGTAAAGTGGTAAAGCCTCACATGTGTGAGGCACTGGGTTCGATCCTCAGCACCACGTAAAAATAAATAAAGAAGTAAGAATTGTTATGCATTTTGCTGTCATATATAAATTTAAAAATAAATAAAGATATTGTGTGTCCATTTACAACTTAAAAAATATTTTAAAAAGCAGCAGCAGAAGAAGAAAAACTCATAGCTCATAGATATGAATCAGGCTGACAATACTCAAATCACTGATCCATCTAAATATAACAAAGAGAGAGCATCAGGCAGTATGTGTGCTTCCTGTAAGATGTAATATAAAATACCCATCACCAATTCCTGAAATATTCTTAACAACAACAAAAAAATCAAATAACATTAAGCTGATAAGTTGGAGAATTGTGTTCTCCAATAAGATAGCCAAAAGAAATAACCAAATTAAGCCATACATATTCTGTGTAAATAATGCACAGGAAAACATGAAGTAATTAAATTATTAATAGGTTTTCCTTTGAAAAGGTTGGATTAGAAATGAAATGCATTTGTTTAACTTATTCAGTATTATTGGACATTAGTTACAACAAAAAAATAATATAATGTGTAAGAGATCACTCATGGTTGGTAATGGACAAAGTTCTTAATAAAAGGGTGGGATCAGAACTGGGGCAAAAAAAATGATGAATGTTATTTAAATATGTAGAAAATATTCAAATGGAACCAGCAAAGGGCAACATGAAAAGGCATAGATCAGGGAAACACATTAATCTTACTGAATAGGAAAAATGGGAAAATGAGATTGGAAAGGTATAGGTTAAATAACAGGAGCCTTTCATTGGCAAAATATTTAGACAAAATTCATCATGAACAAACTAGAGAAAAAAATGAAAGTTTAGGAAAAGCAAAGCTTTGATGAAAATAGTCTTTCATAAAAAATTAACAAAGTAAGTACATATTTAATATAGAATGCAACTCAAAGTGAAGCAGCTAGAATATCATTTTATGTATCTACCTGAAGAATGACCTTTGTATACATAGAACTGCCACTCAAACATTTCACATGAAATTCAGAAGTTGAGGTCTACCATTTCCAAACATATTTGCTTACAAAAAAATACTAGATTTCTAGAGGGCAATAATTTAAAACATAAAAACATGGTATTAATTCATTGTTATCTGAAAATTATATAAATATCTACACCTTGAGTAGCTCAACTATTTGCTGAATAAATCAAGATACCATTCTAAGGTGATTAGAATTGTGAATTATTTCAGAAATAGTAAAGTATCAAATACCAACAATTTCAAAATTGATTACTATTTATTAACTGAGATGCTTTTATTACAAATAACAGAAAATTCAACTCAAACACGTTCAGGTGAATTCATCAGATATTAGGACTAAATATTCCATATGGCTAGCTAACTTTGGAATTTTCTGACTAAGGTGTACAAGCACCAGAGTCTTTGCTTCTCTAGTATTCTCTAAGGAATGCGCTCTATCATATTATTTGAATATATGATTAAAAAAGTTTTCACATACATTCCTAAAACTTATATATGCAAATTGGCAAAAAGGGGAAGGGGACTACAAGTGTGGTGCAGTGATGGAGCACTTGCCTACCATGTGCAAGGGTTGGAACCCCAGCATTGAAAAACATCTTTTTTTTCTTCAGAAACAGAGTACAGACTTTTGCTTAGTGAACTGGGTAATTCACACCAACTTTCTCACTGAAGACAACCTCTGCGATTCCTGACAAAAGGGATACAAGTTAAGCTTAATGATCATAATTATTGTGGTGTTTGGTGGCAATTCTGGTGGGGTTCTTTCTTCTTCTTCTTTTTTGCCTTTTCTTTTTGGGAAGGACACCCCCCCCCCCCCCGCCTTTTGGTAGAATTCGTGGAATTGTTTGTCTTTTCTGTTTTGGAAGTAGAGGATTGAACCCACGGCTTTGCAAATGTGAGACAAGTCCTTTGCTGCTGAGCTACATCCCAGCCTGCTGGTGGCAATTCTGAAAATCAGTATTGGAAGTGGGAACTCAAATAAAGCTTACTGTTTGGAAAGGCAAAGGGTACTAGAATTTTTGACACAAAATAGCAAAAAAGAAATCCTTTCACTAAGAAAAAACACCAGAAAATGATCTAGCAGTTCTATTCCGTCTTTTAGCTGAATACCAACCTATGTATATAAAATGTGAAACACTACAAAGCTGGGCCAACAAAAAAAAAAAAGAAAAAAATTTGGGGGCAAAAATAATTATTGGGGATCTGTGACCCAACAGTTCTCAGAGCTCATTCAGGGCTACGAATTATTCACATTGTCATGAACCAGAATGGAAAGTCATCACTGAATATAAAGGACACTCAGAAAAGAAGACCCTCCAGAAAGTTTGTTTGCTGAATATAAGACACTGTAAATTTTAGAGTGTTGAGTACT